TGAACGGTTAGAACCGAACCCCGGGGGCGACTGAAGGCGGTAAATTCAGGACAGATCTGCGGAAACGCTGCCTTCAGTGAACGAGCAGTAAGTGTACGGAACAGTCGCGCTGAGGGAAACGGTGGAAGCAGAAAGAGTTGTTCGTTTCGAGAACAAATTAGATGAATTTCCGACGGAAAGTGTACAGTCTGGGACACGACACGTCAAGCGACTGCCGGCTCGGTGGTGGGCGAACTAGATGGACCTTGGTCTTATTTCGCGAGCAAATCCTTATGTACGTACGGCGCAAAGCCTTGAGCTCTGTCCAGAGGAACAGGTTATAAAAGCCGTCATGTTAAATGCGTACGAACCGTGGTTAGACCGCACTCGATGATGGTGTGGAACCTGAAATTGTGGCTGAATGAAAAAAAAAAGCCCAACGCATTTAATTTATTTGGCTGCTCGTGAATTAATTAATGGGTTTGGTTTATCACTTTTCAGATCGCTTCGCAGAAAATACCGTGAAGTACGATGGCTATGTTTTACGGGCGAAACGCGGCGGCCAGTTGCGCACAGCGGAGTCCCGCACACAGGCGTGGATTGAGTGGCCAGATTGTTAGTGTTGTCTTCCCGTTACAGACTCCAGTTTTATTTAACTGATGGTAAATTACATTGGCTCTGATGAGGAGATGCTTGAACCCTCCAGTGGGCGACGCTGTGGAGACACGGGGGGTCTTCATGAAACTAGACATTTCCCCTCCAGCAACAAACTCTTATAATAATTGGGAAACGCTGAAGATATTGAGTTACCGGTTTATATTTCTTTTATTTCAACTGGTTACATCTACGGTGTCGGCCCGGCTCAGCTGGTGTCGCTCTTGCCTCTGTGGTCGGAGACTGTGGGTTCGAACCCTACCCTACACGTTAGGACTTTGAGCTCACAGTCCAGGCTGACTCGCCACTGCAACAACAACTTGTCTCTTCATATAGCGCCCTTCTCACGGGGTAGCTTCCTGGAGCGCTTGACAGTGGCGGAGTCTGACCCCGAGCCAGGGGGAGAGGGAGGTGGCAGGCGGCAGGTGAAAAGCAAAGGTCTTTTACTTCTCACCCAAAGAACGAGGCTTCACCTCAGCGATGCTGCACAGCAGTTGGTTGTGAGCCCCACGGGCCGTCGGGCTGACCACCAACCGACCGCCCCGCACGGGGGGGGGGGGGGCGCACTCACTGCGGACTCTGGAATCAGCCCGTTGCTGTGAGATGAAACCTGTTCTGCAACTTGGAACTCGTGTGCCTTTGCCTTTGCCCCGTGTGCTTAGCTCTGCTGTGAGCTTGGAGCCTCTCCCGCGCAGACGCAGACTGCGGTGGTCATTTGAAACGTTACATGGGGAATCCCCGGGAAGATCCCCGCCGGGAACGCCCACCCGTTTACCCGAACTGGAATTGAACCCGAGTGCCGAGGTCAGTGTTCTGCCTGCCCTCAGTTCCCGAGATCAGCAGTAGCTGGCGGGTCTACTAAAAACAGTCGATTCTGTTAATCAGTAAAATCTGACGGCCGGTTTCACTCAACCGAATGGTGTCAGTGAAATCTGACCCTCCAGCACTTGTCAATCTTTCCGTTGATTTCCACAGAATGTCTGTCGGACATCAAGTCCTGGATGAGAGCTGACTTTCTACAGTTGAACGTCAACAAGACCGAGGCTCTCCTGATTGACTCCCGTCAGCGCCTCCTCACCTCAGGCGCTGACAGCATCACCGTCCATGGTTGCACACTCCACCTCGCTGAGCCAGTCCGGAACCTTGGGTCTTGTTTGACCCTCAACTATCCTTTCTACCCCAAATTCGTGCCGTGACCCGCTCTGCCTTCCCTCACCTCCGCAACATCGCCTGACTCCGCGACTGTCTCACACCGCAGGCCGTGGAGACCCTCACACACGCCTTCATTACATCCAGGCTTGACTATACAAACTCCCTGCTTGTCGGGCTCCCCATCTCCTCCCTCCACAGACTGCAGATCATCCAGAACTCTGCAGCCCGTGACCTCCCGCACCAAGCTCCGCGATCCTATCACCCCCATCATCGCCCGACTCCACAGAGGATACAGTTCAAGATCCTTGTCCTCACCTTCAAAGCCCTCCATGGCCTTGCTACTCCTACCTCTGTGATCTTCTAACCCTCTACCATCCTGCCCGCTCCCTCCGCTCAGCGGGCTCCGGCCTGCTTCACGTCCCCCGCCTCGCCCGCTCCATCATTAACGGGCGGGCTTTCTGCCACTCTGCCCCCACCCTCTGGAATTCCCTTCTCGCAGTCCCTCCACCTCGCCCCCTCCCTTCCAAGACCCTCATCAAGACCCTCCGCTTCGACCGTGCCTTCGATCACCCTGCTTCACCCCCCTGCCCTCCACCCTCCCAGAATCCCGACCCCCAGCTCGGGTCCAAAACACTGACTGTCCAGCGACTTGGGACATCCTCCCGATGTGAAAGATACTGTACAAATGTAATTTAGTTGTTGTAGATGTCAGATAAGTGGGTTTATCAATTACGTCATTGTTTATTCTTCGCACGGTACCTGCTGTCTAGCCTGGAGGCCAGAGTCAGGCTCGTGGGGAAGATACAACCCAGGGCAAAGATCCATGTGCTGTTCGCAAATGTTGTCCTTTACCTTGTGGCCGTGTGCGTGGGTGTGTGGGTGTGTGAGAGAGACGTTGTTGTGCACAATGTAGCTCCTGTGCTTTCCCAGGAAAACAGACGCCACACTTGACACTAATGCTAATAATCCTTGCCTTTCATATCGCACCTTATGTTATTGAAAGCACCTCATAGAAATTACAGTCCAGGGTAGTAATTGTAGGCTAACGTGGCAGCCAGTTGCACGCAGCAATGTCCCACAAACAGACGTGAAGTGAAATGTAATATATTATGCTTTTTCACGTAATAAAGCGTTATAAAAATGTGAGTTGCCACAGTCCTGGACTGATACTCCAGTGCAGTGCCGGGGGAGCAATGCATTGGTGTCCTCAGATGAGATGTTTAGCTGACGTCCCATCTGTGCCTGTTCAGGTGGACATTAAAGATCCAATGTCACTATTCAAGAAGGGAATGGAGTTTCTTTCACCAGATGTCCTGACTAACAATGCCCCGAATAAGATTGATCACTCACTGCATTACTGCTTATCGTTGGGCACAAATAGCTACTGAGTTTGCCAACAAACCCACATCCTGTGAACCCCTCTGAGATGTCTCGACGATGTGAAAAGGCGCTATATCGACTGCAAGGATTGTTATAAGTTCATTGATTATCCTTTAACTCTTTGACTATTCTGGCACTCCTCCCTCCCAGCTCAGTACAGAGTCTCAGCGCTGCGTACGCTGAGCTTAATTGTTCTGTCTTTTGGAACTGACTTCAATCACATTCCTATTGAGCAATGTTTCTCCCCATCGTACAACAGGTAGAGCCAGTTTCCTGATTGTGGGTGAATTTCCTTCCTTACAGTAAACATACCTGATTTAACTATTCAGGTGCCACAGTCCTGAAATTCCACCTTCATAGAATCATAGAATCATAGAATTATACAGCGCAGAAGGAGGCCATTTGACCCATCGTGTCTGTGCTGGCTCTTTGAAAAGAGCTATCCAATTCAATCCGATTTACTTATATGAACCCCCCAGATCTCTCTGTTCCTTCACGTCCTTTAAGATTGTACCATCAGCTTATATTGCCTTGTCATAGCCTGTGACACCATTTTGCCTTAATGTTTTTAAGACGCCGCGGAATTGTGAAAAAATCTTTAATTTCCGGGTTTAATTTGAAGCCTTTTTTTAAGATTAACAATACAACAATAGGGCTTATATTTATGCAGCGCCTTTCGTGTATGGAGGGCATTTGAAAGTGCTTCACAGTGCTGGCTGGGCACCGAGCTGGGGGTGGGAGCCAAGGGGGGGGGGGGGGGTGGATGATGACTGAAAGCATGATCAAGGAGGTACATTTTTAGACATGCCTTAAAGGAGGAGTGGGGGAGATTTTAACCATTTAGTCCCAGCCTGCTTCACGTCCCCCGCCTCGCCCGCCCCACCATTGGTGGGCCTTCGGCCACTCTGCCCCCACCTTTTGGAACTCCATCCCACAGTCCCTCCGCCTCGCCCCTTCCTCGCCTCCTTCAAAACGCATCTCAAGACCCTCCTCTTTGACCGTGCTATCGATCATCCTCCTTCCCCCCCCCCGGCCTCCACCCTCCCCAAACCCGACCACCAGCTCGGGTCCGAAACACTGTCTGTCCGACGCCTTAGGACATCCTCCCAATGTGAAAGGCGCTATACAAATGTCATTTTGTTGTTGTTGATCTCTGGAATTCCATCACGAAACCCTCCGACTCAACCTGGAGGTCTACAGTATTGTTACTGTTATTTCTTTCTATTCAAAGACTCTGTCTCTGTATTCTCCTCTCCATTACCCATCCTCTCTATCACTGTGAGAGACTCATGCCTCCTTTCCTCTCGGTCTCTCACTAAATATTCTAAATACAAGAAGTTACCAGTCTGGCCCTGGGACATTTATAATAATAATAATAATAATCATCTTGCATTTGTTATAGTGCCTTATCATGTCTTCTAGTCATCTCAAATAGAAATACTGTAAAATGAATGGACTGTATATTTTGTGGGTGAAACGCGGCAGCCAATTATGCGCAGCAGTGTCCCACGAACAGTTGTGGATTGAGTGACCAAATTATTATTATATTTTGTTGGAGGGATTATTATCCCCGGGAAAGCAATCTGCCAATCGACTAACAACCGAGTTCCGACTTACTGCTAGTAAGGAAACTTGTCCAACGTTTCGCCCTGCCAGGGATCAAACCCAGGTCCTCTCACTTGTGAGGCGAGTGCTCTAACCACTAAGCTACAGGACTCTAACATCTGTGCTTTATCTGCTTGGAATTCCCTTATTTAATTTGAAAAGAGAAGGGAGTTTCTCCTGGTCAACAATTCCCCCAAATAAAACT